GCTGTGACGCATGCAGCCGACAAATTCGGCCTTCGGAGGACCCGTCCTGCCGTTTTGGACACAGCCTAAGACTGCTGCGTGCAGTTTCTGCTCCCACCAGATTTTAGCTCAGGATCTATAAAATAAGACAAACTGGAGCTGGTTTTGGTTGCTAAGCTGTGGTGGCCATCTTGAATGGGGCTAACTCCAAAAACCAAGAAGGTGCTGGTTCAGGATAAACACTTCCTGATGAAGGTATATCAACAGATAACATGTTTGTTATTCTCTGGACATCTTAAAGGTTTAAATAGTTTTATAGAATTAGCTGCACTGTATGAAACCTCCCACAGTTACAGAAAGTTTTCTCTGGGTTTTTCTTCTTTGTGAAAGTTTAGCTGTGAYTTTATCGATTTCAGGCCATTATTAGAGCCGGAGGTCCAGCGACGCCACTGTCACTAACACTTCAAAAGCAGTTGTGTAAAAGTAAAGTCGCTGAGCGGCATGCTGSGATTCCCATTTTGGTTCAGAGATGGCTCTTAGCATGACCGTCTGCGTGTAATGCCATCAGAAGCAGACAAAACGGGAGCGCACGCTGTTCTCGTCGTCGATACTGCTCTCTGCGTGCCGCCGCCTGGCCTGAATGTTTCTGCTCGCTCACGCCGCACACTCGTTTGTCTGCACTCGTCTYCGGAGCGGCAGCCACGACGGGCAGACCCACCGGCACCAGTTCATCCATCACAGGAGCTCCTTCTAATGCCACATGCGTGAGGAACATGTCGAACAGTCCAATCAAACATCCAACAACAAATCCCAGGGAGGGGTTTCACCATCTGAGCTGCAGCTCTGTGGAACTCAGCTTTAATTAGCTGGTGTGTTTCGGGTAAACAGGAGATTACAGGACASTAAATATGCTGGCATTCTCACAGAAATGTGGCTTCCTTTTGCATAAATCAGAACATACAAATCAATCCTGTGTGCTGAGATGTGTAAACACGGTTTGGAAATGACTCCAGCTATGATACATGGCTCAGCTTCTGACTGGTTCTGCTGTGCAAATAATTTTCTTTGGTCTTTGAAAAGAYGAGAATCTAATGGAAGAGGCTGCAGACATATCACCGTCTTTTCAAAAACAGTTAGGATTGTGTGTAATACACGATCTTACAAATCTCAGACTCATATTTTATTCAGATTGAAACATTTTTTAAAACAAAACGCTGAAGCATTTTTAGAAAAAAATGGGACATTTCTTCGTTTGATCTGTTTCAAGTAGTTCCAGGTGTTTCCCACTGGGAAGGATCTTTTTCAACAGTCTCTAAACGTTTAGGAACTCAGACTGGTTTTGAAGGACCTGAGGAAACCAGTCCTGCAGGTTTTGGAGGACATGTTGTCCAGTTCTTGTCTGATGGAGGACTCTGTTCAACAGTTCTGGACATCTGCCTGCATTGACTGATCCTCCCCACATGTGTCTGAGGCAYTAATGCACCCTCATACCATCAGAGAGGCAGGCTTTTGAACTGTCTGCTGAAACCCAGTCTGGATGGTYCCTGCCCTGTCCAATAAGGAGGATGTAGGCCATAATGGTTACCATCCATGGTTATCACAAAACCATCTGAGCCCAGAACCRTTCTGCACTTTRCTCCAGTTTATTTTCAATGAGCTTTGGTCCATTGACGATGATGTCRTCTTTGCATGATAGAGCTTTAAGCAGCAYTAGTGGATGCTACAGTGAACTGTGTTTAAAGATGAAGTGTTTGAGTCCATGCAGTGAGATCCAGAACAGAACCAGAACCTGTTTTTAAAGCAGATCAGGACCATCTGATGTCGATTTTCAGCCTTTGAGTTCAGGTTTCTGCAGATTAGAATAATCTGTTGAAGATTATGAACTGGAGATGATGGAGCTTCAGTCTTATTTTAATTGATCAACAGATTTGTGTCAAAATATTATTGAATCTTTGAATTATCTTGAATTTTTTTGCAAGCTGGTTAAGCCTGGCCTATTTTTATTTTWAAATTTTTATTATTCTTTTCTAAGAAATGGTAAAATATCTTAACTGAAATGTCTGATGTGTTTACTGTTTCATTTTATATAGAATAAAACATCCCAGCGTATTCTGAACTGAGCTTATTTCAAATGATGTTCARTTTTCAGCACAAGAAGCTCAAACTAAAGAAGTTTATTTCTCTCTTAATCAACATGAGTGCAAATAAAATGAATGAAAAGCTTAAATATAAATACTCATGTCAGCTTTCTCTTTTTAAAAAGATAAAATACATACTGTGTATTTATACACCAGAGTTTGACTCGCAGCCATTCACTGCATGAATACAGTTCAGGGACACTGATTCTGGCTCCTTCTCATTTTAACAAGTAAACCCAGCTGATCAATACTTTTAATAAAAGCAATGGCTGCTGTGGCTCAGCCTATAATGCAGCTCGGAGCTTATTAGGCTCTCTCAGCTGATTGGTTTGGTTTCAGAGGAACAGAGCTTCAGTTTCTGCTAAACAAGTTGCTGATCTGAACCTGAACAGTCTGCAGCC